CACCTGGCAACGAATTGCATAATGTCCGCCTTTCATTAAAAACAGTAATTTAGTTAGCCAATAATGGGCAATCAATGTATTGCCGGTTAATCCTTTGAAAGAAGGACGTTGTTTTTACGCAGACACCGACACGGCAGAGTGTATTCAGTATAGATTAGTAAGTCTACATACATAAACACTACCTTTTCACAAATCCGCTGTGTAAGATAAAAGTAATTAATCAATCAGCGTGTTATCGGTTAATCCTTTGATCGATGTTTATAATGTTGAATATTTACTCCAGACACAAGAAATGCCAAATGGGAACCTTTGTCGGGTAATCTAAGTGTGTTACCACTAATTATACCTGTTATAAATTCATTAACTGACCATCAAGTGAATGATGACAAATAACATGTGTAGGTTTATACCACCTAACACGGGTTACAACAAGGGAGTATTAATTGCTGTATTGCATGTGAAAACTTATGGGCCGACACTGTTTTGAGAATACAAACAGATTTTTACATGACATGATTAAATATCGAGGTAAAAAAACACAGAAATGGGATCAATTTAGATCAGTCATTATACAAATAGAGCCTAACGACACCAATCAATTGTGACAGAAGCGTCTATGAAAACAAGTTGTAACTCGGAAACTAGGCAAAGCAGGAGACAAAATTAAATGCCAGTAGATTGTGAGAACATATAGCTTTCATTTTCCACAACAATTGTCACGATTTCAGGTTTATACAAGACTGTAAACAAGATAATTTACCCCTAAAATGTAGATGAATTCTGCATCGGCCCTCAAAGCTATTCCTCATATGACGTCACAGAGTCGCGCCGCTCTGATTGGTTGAAATTTCGTTCGCGGGTGAGAATTGTGCACTGTTGTCAAAAAGGTCGATTTAAGTCAATTAAAGGTCGAAATGAGTAGTTTTAATGACGGGGTTTCATTTATAACGATGCCAGTTAGTGATTTATGTATTTTTAACCCCTAGGGTTTATGTGACCTTTAAAGGTCACATGCAACCAAAAAATCAAACATAATTAAAACACAATTATCACTTATTCATGACATATAATATACATTGCTGGTTATGAAAAAACATATAAACAAAATTATAAGCGTACAATCGCAAATCAAAGTGCAATATTGTGTACTTGGGTTAACTTCCCAAGAAACGAAGCAGCCGGGATACCGAACCCAGTCAGAGCGGGAGGGTGTGCACTCAAGTGTAACGGCTGGTTCATTTGCAGATGCCCTCACGGCTCATTGTGTGTGTATATAGAGATGTTGGGTTTTGTAAATACATGCTCATTTTTTGTGTATAACATTTTGCAATCAACAGACATCATAACATGTCATGTGTTCAAGTATCACACCTGCCTGTCTGTGTAATTACATAATGTGACAGAGACCGAACTCGGGCCATAAATCAATGCGTTTTGTTTATGGTGTATAGCCTGATTGGTGTTAAGTTCAAATTGCATGTGGTCAGTGATCGCAGTTGTGTATTGAATATTGTCATTAGCAGACAGGCAGGCAGACACACAGGTGTCAATAAAACAAGACATTGAGTTTTGTCTGACAACGACATATCTATATCACAGTTAGAAATTCTGTCAACGCTAAATAGTGACATTGCTTTTAAGTATCGAACTGAGAAAGTGACTCGGTAAGAAGAACGTGTGGTGAAATAGACAAATGAAATTATATAAACAGTTTATTTACTGTCATAACATATAAAAAGCTCGCGCCTGTGAAATATCAACAAAACATTAGGAAAATAGCTCACACCAAAGCCTTCACCGAGTATTCACCGGACAGCCCGCTTCCAAGTAGCGCGGACCTATTTCACTGCGCACGTGCTATGAGCGCAGCCCAGCTGTTGAAACCAGTTTTCCCCCCGAAAAGTCAGATTTCGCGGGGTTTTTTTCATCGCGTTATTTTTCAACTTTAAAGGTGAATTTGCATTTTTGATGATTTGTTTCGGTAAGTCCATACCGAAAGGTATCATAATCTGCAAAGTTGTGTTTTACGTTGCATGTGACCTTTAACATATCGTATAAACTAGCCTCGTCTGTAATTTCAGCGCGAATAAATCGTGTACTCCCGAAAATAATAAGCGACGATCAAAAAGGCTTCATGAAAGGTAGATACATTGGCGAATGCACGAGACTGGTCAGTGACATGATGGACTATACAGACTATATGAATATACCAGGATTATTGATAATGATAGACTTTGAAAAAGCTTTCGATTCCGTGGAATGGTCTTTTATTGAGAAATGTCTTAACTTCTTTAATTTTGGACCATCAATCAAACACTGGATTAACAAATTTTACAATAACATAAATTCTAGCGTTTCAATAATGGTTTTGCATCAGGCTTCTTCCACATTACTAGAGGCTGTAGACAAGGTGATCCTCTATCGCAGAAATCCTTGCTCACATGTTACGTCAAAATGACAAAATAAAAGGGATAAAAATGTTTGACTTAGAATATTTGCTAACACAGTTTGCAGACGATACAACTATAATCTTAGACGGGTCTGAACGTTCTTTTCAAACAACATTAGAAGTGCTTAAACAATATGCATCCTTCTCTGGTCTTAAAATAAACATTGATAAAACTAAAGTAGTGTGGATAGGTTCTAAACAATATTCCAGTACACAGTATTGCAGAGACTATAATCTGGACTGGACGCAAAGACCTTTCAAACTGCTAGGTATCATCTTTCAACATAATAAGGCAAAAATGGTGGAAAGAAACTATAAAGATAAACTAAAGAAAATGGATAAATTAATGAAACTTTGGTCACTAAGAGATCTCACACCATTCGGCAGGAGAACTATCCTGAAAAACCTAGTATTGCCCACACTCAATTATCTATTTTCCTCACTACCAAACCCCAAAATGAATACAATTCAAATGATCCAGAAAAAGATCTTCGCATTTATTTGGAGAGGCAAACCAGACAAAATAAAGAGATCTCTGATAATCAGAAATTATAAAAAAGGCGGCTTGAAAGTTCCAGATATACTAGAAACTATAAAATCTAAAAATAATATCATGGATAAGAAGGTTATTTACAACAAACTCTAAATTCAACCATATCTTAAATAACACGGTAAAAAATACAAACCCAATAGAAATGGGCTCAAATTACCTGAAAACACACATCATCCCAAAACTTAAAAACTTTTTCTGAAAAGATGTTCTGAGAGCTTGGGCTGATTTACAAGAACGGTATTCTTACACGAAATCCGACTTTTGCAAACAGTATATTTGGGCAAATAACAATATAAAAATTGGAAACAAATCTATACTATATGAACACTACTTAAAAGCAAATGTAAAATTTATATATGACGTATTAAAAGATGACGAATCCTTTCTGTCTTTCACTGAGTTTAAAGAGATGTATAGAGTAGAGACAAATTTCTTAGAATATGCGGGAATATTATCTTCAATAAAACAATATTCTAAGCAAGAAGCTACGATATTGACAAAGCAAAGACATTTACCCTTTATTCCCCCGAATGTAAAAATACTCTATGGAAACAAGAAAGGCTGCAATAGTTTCTACACAACACTACTAAACAAGGTTAAATCTATTCCAAGTTTAGGATATCAATGTCAATGGGAAAACGACCTTCATCACAATTTTCCACCTGACTTATGGAATACCTGTCATTTTATACCATTCAGAGCTTTTTCATAACACTAAGGAAAGATGGTTTCAATATCGTATTGTCCACAGAATTCTCACGACCAATAAAGACCTATACAACTATAATATATTAGAATCACCACTATGTACGTTTTGCAAGGCTGAAAAGGAAACCATTGTTCATTTGATGTTTGAATGCAGATACGTAAATAGGCTGTGGCAAGACCTTTTAAATTGGATTGAAGATAAAACAGACACTACTATAAACCTGGATCCGAAAACAGTCCTTTTGGGCTTTCATGAAAAACGTAACGATGTTCTGAACTTGATATTTATCATAACAAAGGAATATACATATTCCAGAAAACTAGCAAATATACGTCCAACCCTTGAAAGTCTCAAATCCAAATTAAACCACTGTTACAATCTCCATAAATATAATGCATACTCTGTATGCAAATATAGCAAGTTCACGACTTTCTGGTCATCATACCACAACTTATTTACATAATCTATTCGATCTCACTTATGCTTGTTTTTTAATTGTGCTATGTATTTGGAATAGTGTTGTGTATGAAGGATAAAACTGTACCAGTGCGAAAGAGAAATAAAGTGAAAAAAGAAGAAGTTTAGATCAGTACATCCAGATGAAGCAGCCAAGTCATGCGAAAGTCCACGGAAGCATTGTGAGACTGTGGACACAGGCTTAGTCAGCGAACATTGCCATGTGGCTCTGTATTAGTAAGTGGATCTGAGACAGTAGTTTCCGTTGAAAAAGATAAACGTTATGTTTCCACCACTGATGTTAGCCGAGTTAAGCAACTGCAAACCAAGAAACGGGGGTGCGGCGGGCTAGTTCACTGTATTAGTGTGAGTGAGTGAGTGAGTAAGTTTAGTTTTACCCGCATTAAGCAATATTCCAGCTCTATGGCGGTGGTCTGTAAATAATCGAGTCTGGACCAGACAATCAACAGCATGAGCATCGATCTACGCAACTGGGAATCGTTGACATGTGTCAACCCAGTCAGCGAGCCTGACCACCCGATCCCGTTAGTCGCCTCTTACGACAAGCATTGGTTACTGAAGGTTCATTCTAACCCGAATGGTCACGGGTTCACTGTAGAAGGCTGTACTTTGACAACTGACATGATTCGTGGCTTCTGTCACCAAGTATACGTTTGATTAAGAGGGGGCGGATTAGAATGTCCTAGTGACGTACAACAATGTGACGTAATGCTGAAAGTGTCGGCGTCTTAGAATGTGTCATATCTAAATGGTACCATCTAAATATGCTCACGGATCTTTAAGCAGAAAAAATCAAATACAAAATTAGCAACCCATGCTTGTCGGAAAAGGGGAGTAACAGAATGCGAGAGTCAGGCTCACTTGGTTGGTGTTGTCATTGTATCCTCATTGCGCGGATCGATGATTATGATATGAATCACAGGAATATCTGGTCCAGACACGAGGGATGAGGGACATTGGTGTGTGCGCCAAATAAACACAAATACGAACACAATACGACGTTGCTTGATTCCCCAAATGGGTGCAACGTACACGCACGCCCTCACGCACGCACGAACAATGTGTTATGTTTTCACCTTGGAGATAAGGGGCACGGGGGATATCAATGACAATGTCTTCGTGTCATTTATCACCTTATGCTCTATTTCCTGCTTCACTGTATAGATTTTTCCATCACAAGGATTAAATATTTCAATGTCAAAACATTGAAGGATCTTTTTTATAATGTTAATTATCATTTAATTATTGAATTTTTACACGAAATTGAATTGATTGATAAATTCTGAGAAATATGCTTTGTAGATAGATGAATTTTTATAATCGAAGTTTAAATAAGTAACTGATATTGTTACCCAGATAGCATTGATATGTTGGCCCATAGTTGGCCCATAATCACCGGTTTGGTTGGCCCATGGCTGTCAAACTGACGATGGGCCTACTTGGATATGCTCATCGGCTCCACCGTGGCCCATCATGTTGGCTCGTTGTTGGGCCAACCAATGAAAATTCACACAAAACCATGGCCCATAGTTGGCCCAACGTAGTGATTTTGTTGGCCTTATGTTGGCACCACTGTGTTACAACATTTAGCTCTTTCTTGATCTTTGTACTAAAACATGGCCCAACGATGTGATTAAGTTGGCCTTATGTTTGCACAACTGTATTTCAACATTTAGCTCTTTCCTGACCTCTGCAATCAGAAACATATTTAACAACACAACAAGTTAATCAAGTGAACTATTTAATTCTTTTTTTTTCATTGTTATTTGAACATTATTGTATTCCTTGAAAATATTCTTGTCTTAGGTCTTTTGGCTGTCGCCGCTGACAGGTTTTTCGAAGTGCTCCTGAAGAAAACCCCGAAAAATGTCATGAAACTGTCAGATATCATAATTTTAGACATGAGAACTATCGTAAAAGGACATAGTATTTGACCTTATGTTTTATTTGAAACGTACAACGTAATGATTGAGAACTTCTTGTTTATTGCGCAGAGTGACGTTCGGATTAGATTCTTACACTGTTATCAAGCTAAAACCAAATGATTAGAAGTATATATGCGTAGTATGTTTTGACAATCAGCAGATTGACATTAACAACATGTAATTGAATATCAACTGGTACATTATTGGAAAGGCCAGATGGGGACTAAGAACAACAAATGGAATGGTGATGAAGCCAATAAACAAGGGGAGATTCAGTTGTAACAACAAGCTGATAGGGTGCTTTGATAGAGTCTATAGTTTGATTAGTTCTTCATTGGTCTGTCGTTTTCATGTGACTGCAAAATTTGGTTTTGTTGCAATTACTAGATTTTGTGTTAGTGAGCAATTCATTGGTCTCAAATGAAATCAAACAGACTATGAGTTTGTGGGTTACTGGTTGAGGCTCGTGAAGACATGTTGTAGGTGGTTCCGCTCATGTTCTAGGTCATGGCTGCTGGAGCAAATTTTCTTAGTGTGCTTGATCAGGGTTGAGATGACGCCAAAGTTAGTTTTAGGGGGCTGGTTTGACAAATTCGAAATCTTATCCACCAAGAATCAGGACTTCACAAAAAGAAAACTTTTGGAAGCCATCGAAATCAGCCGCCACAAACCTTTGATCAATAGAGACCAAGGATACTACATACCATTGGGATATGAAGAATTAATCAAAGTAAAGACTCTATCAAATCCCCCTATCAGGTTGTTACAACCTAACACCCCTCCCCCCTCCCTTCCTTGTTAATTGGTTTCATCACTAGATCCATTTGTTGTTCCCAATTATGTTTATTTTACAAAACATACTATGTACATGTATATATACTTCTCATCATTTGGTTGTAGTCACTTTTAGCTTAATAACGGTGTAAGAATCTGCATCGAAACGTCGCTCTATACAATAAACAAGAAGTTGTCATCCATAGAGTTGTATGTTTCATTTTTGACTCACCAACTTCTATACTGCTGTTCAAACAATGTTTTATTTATTTATTTAAATATGACGTGCAACTTCTACAACTGTGACACATACCGGTATATATGATATGATGATGTTTAGCAACTATTGGTTGTAAAGATGAATAATAGAGAGAGTTTTATATGGAAACAGGAGTGTAACTGACAAACACATAATGTTAATAAAGTAAACACAATAAATTTAAATAATTTAAAATGAAATGAGATTTATCAAAGTGGTTAAAACAGGCTACCTAAAGAAAAGAGTCAATTAAATCTTTTATCTACTCAATCAATTGCCTTTCAATACAGTATGTGTCAGTTTCTTTAGCCTAAATGATGATTTAAACCAATTATTTCACAATATATTCGCAATATATACACAGAAATAACAATACATATTTACCAGTTGAAAGCCTCCAGAAATGTAGTGTCGTCTGCTCTTTGAATATCAGGTAAAGCTATCAATGATGACAAGTTTGGCATTCAATTTGGAGAAAACAACGCTGTAAAATTCACTGCATCATAGTTGAAAGACAGGGAAACGGATTCTTTCTTTTTGACTGTGTAATTATGTCAACGTTCATTAAAACATGGCTAAAAATGGCCGCGTGCTCACTCTTTTATTCACAATGTTGGGCCAACGGTGGCCCAACTTTGTGAAATAGGTGTAAGATCAGGGAAAATAGGCAGAGCTTTTCAAATGTTGGCCCACTGTTGGACCAACGTGTCAAAAGCCATGGTTACTTTTAAGTCATTAAGATAACGTTTGGCCAATGTTGTCAAACTGTTGGCCAACCAACCAACCATATACCAACATTGGCCCAACACACCTTTGCTATCTGGATAGTTGCTGTATCCTTAAGGGGCGTTAAAGCATTGTAAAATTATTGTCCTCCTGAGAGGATACGTAAGTCCCAAAACATTCAAAGTCAATTTAATCTCTCCACTCTTTTTTAACCGTAGCATATGTGTGTTTTTAATTTATGGCTACATTTGACTCCATTTACCTTTGGCTGAAGGGATGGTGTAAATCCAGCTAGGTTCCATGCAGGGAGCAAAAGTACTCCCCATGGCCCCTAGCATGGTGATCTACCTTCAGTTGCTGGTGATTACCAGCCTGTTTTTATATTGTATTGTCTGTACTATTTGTGTAATTTTAAAAGTTACTGGCTAGTTTTAATTCACTGTGATAATCTAGTTATCTTACCGTCCTTAGTCAAGAGGTGTTAATATGATTTTATTGCGTTTATTGTTAATTTAAAACTTTCATAGTCACAATATGGCTGAAATATTGCCGATGTGACTATAAATTGTAACTCACTCACTCATACTCTATTTGGTGGATCCAATTGCTATACTTTCTTCTGCAGATGAGAGACTCCGTAACTTTGCAGTCAACCTCTATTCCAACAACCCGGTTACATACCCAGGACAGGCTCCCAAGACATGCTACTACCACGCTGGGCCTGTTGCAAGAGGAGCAACGGTCACTTTGTCCTGCATCAAACCCGTTCGTGGAAGATTTCTGAGGCTGGATGGCGATGCAGGCATTCCCGGTGAAGACAACCAGTTCACAGTGTGTGAAGTGCAGGTCTTTCAGGCTAAATGGTTATCATGTATGTGCATGTACCTGCTCAACTTTTGTGTCGTAATTTTTCCAAAGTGATATCCGTGCATTTTATCAAGGTAGAATTACACTACGCTCGCTTTGTCTTATCTGCAAGAAAATTGTGAAGATCCGGGTAAGACTGTATCATAAGTATCACCATGCTTGTCGCAACGGGGGCGGTGGGGTAGCCTAGTGGTTAAAGCGTTGGCTCGTCACGCCAAAGACCCGGGTTCGAATCCCCACATGGGCACAATGTGTGAAGCCCATTTCTGGTGCCCCCCCCCCGCCGAATATTGCTAAAAGCGGCGTAAAACCAAACTCAGTCAGTCAGTCAGTTGTCGCAACGGGATCGGGTGACGTACAACAGAAAGTGGTGCTTCGTTGTCTTGGTTAACTCATCGTATCCCAATCGGATAGACCGATGTTCTTGCTGTTGATCACTGGCTTGAGCTATTGTACAATTATAACACTGTCATCCCTAGTGTAGTGGCCTCCCTTTGATTGCTGGAGAACAATAACCCATTTTAATAATGTATCGTTATGAGTAGTGCTATTTTAAGGTTAGAAACTGGTTATGAATTATATAACCTGTTGATCAAAAGAAAATATTACATACAAATTCACAAAAATGAAAATGCAGTGATAAAACCATACTGAGCCATGTCATACATGTACAGACCCATCTTTTTCGGGAACACACGGCGAAACAAGTTAACGAATCGCCTACACGTCGCAAAAAATTCAAACCGACCTTTTTCTGAAGTAACACGAAATACACGTGCATATTATTATATTATTATATGATATTTATATAGCGCACATATCCAGGCAACTAGTGCTTGCTCAGGGCGCTGGTATTTTTTCCCTCGATCATTGGTTGTCAGTCTCAACGGCACATGGTGTTATCAATCTCAACTCCCTGGGAATCTTACAACTCTTGCAGCCACTAGGCGCACCGAGTTATTGTGGCCTTCTCATCCTAACGAGGTACCCATTCACAGCTGGGTGGACTGGTACACATAGTCACAGTACTTTGTCAAAGTTCACTGCACGTTGCTGTACCCGCAACTAGGTGTTTGCACGTATTTATGTGGCCACCATGTGGTCATATACCAACGGATTCGTGGGTTCTTTTAAGTGCACAGGGATGTGTACTGTGCACTAGGGGTTGTGCCAACACTGAAAGAGTCTGCACACAAAGTTGACTCCGGGGTCTTTACACCCGGTCACAGATGGGCTCGATCCCGACACCTCAAGCTCGCTGGATCACTAGCCTGGCACCTTAGCCAGCTCGCCCACCGCGCCCACGGTATAAAACATACCGACGGTATGAAACAGCCAATGCGACACGTGAGCAACACAGTAGTAAAAAGAACACAAAAATATGCCACTTTTGAGACTAATCGATCGATACTGAGACAGGCCTAGGAGTGGTCGACCACGCGTGACAACGTCCGGTGATGATCGCCACAACCGGACAATTCATCTGAGAAATAATTTTGTAACGGCGACGTCAACGGCAGCGACGTCACTAGGACACCGCATCAGTCGTACCGGCGAATAAGAGAACATGGTATTCGAGCACGTCGACCCTACCGCGAAGAGCATCTGACTCTTCAAAACCGACGTCGTCGATTGACATGGGCCAGGCGAGCTCGACGGTGGCAGATGCCTGATTGGCGACGTGTGATGTTCACCTACGAGAGTAGGTTTTGTCTGTACAGTAATAAATGTGTGTAAATTTAGGTAAATTTATAGTAGTATAAATTTATAAGCCCAATGTCTCGTATGCATAAAGCCCTACCGTTAAAAATAAGCAACTATGTGAAACCCGGTCTACGTATGCTCCCATAAACAAATCTGTACATTTGTATTTTGCTCTATGTGACTATTGTGATCTTCGTAAGAATAAACCATTGAACGTTTAGCGCCTAATTGCTTTCAGCAAGTCCGACCGTTTGGAGCCGGTAGCGTGATGGCGTGGGGATGGACCTGCGGCGATCTCAAAAAGAGACTATTGTTCATGGCAAGCTGAATACTCGAAGATACAGGGATGAAATTTTGCGACCAGTTCTGTTGCCATTTATCCAGCAACAACTACGATGTATTGTCTACCAACACGATATCTAACGCTCGGCCTCATACACCAAGACTGACAAACGACTTTCTGCATAACACTATCATCGTTGGTTTGCCATGGCCAGCATGTCCTCCCGATATGAATTCGATAGAACACTTATATATGGGACTACCTGGATCGACAAATCAGAAAACTACCAGCGCCACTTGTCACCTCTCAACAACAAAAACAATGTCTCCTACAGGAATGTCAACGGATCATTATATACTCTGATCCATGTTACAGTCACAATATGGCTGAGACATACCGACGTGACTTAAACTTTTTACTCACTCACTCACTGTCAAAAATAACATGAAACATTTGGTTGAAACTTTCAAATGTTTAGGTTAAATGGTTATCATCTATGTACATGTTTATTGGCTCAGTGGTATACTGGAGAAAGCCGTGTGTCCCAGGTAGAATTGACAATGTTCACATAAGTTTGAATACAGGCTGGTAGATTCACCGTCGTAAAAATCCATATATTTGCACTGCTCCAGAACCTTTGCCTTTCAACACCATGTCTCTGTGTAAACGTTAACGACCTGTGTCACATTTGATTTTAGCCCTTAAGAAACTGATATACATGTTGTTCAAAGCAGCGTTATAAAACACTCACGTTAACGTCAACATCCCCTGATGATAATGAACTATCATTCCAGTTCATTTTCACACAGGATCTACAATAACTGCTAATCTCCATGTAAATGTTGCTTGCACCTCTTGTACATATATTTGAGGAGGCGGTATTGTTTTCTAGTACTTAAAGCGTTCGCTCGTCACGCCGAAAACCCGGTTTCGATTCTTCACATGGGTACAATGTTTGAAACCCATTTACCGGTGACTTCCCAGTCAAGCATATACTTGAGCCATAACTCCATGTTATAGAGGTGTGTAACTCGAAGAGAACCATGTCCGTTATAATAAGATCTCTTTACTAAACTGACGTACAAAAGAAAGTGGTGCTTTGAATATTTTGAAAAGTATTTTTATTTACAAGTCACAAGTTGGCAACAAATATACAATGTTAGTGTCTTAAGGCGTTCGCTCGTCACGCTGAAGACACAGTGTCGGCTCCCCACATGGGTACAATGTGTGACGCCCATTTCTGGTGTCCCCCGCCCTGATATTGCCGGAATATTGCTAAAAGCAGCGTAAACCCAACTCACTCACTCGACCACATGAGCATATGTTGATGGATCACTACACATTGTGATGATACTATTGGAGAATGCCTAACACATTGTAGAAACACGATGTGATCCATCATAAACACGTGCAAAGGAGAGTACTTCTTTCACCTAAACGCTATGAGAACATATGATTGCGTTGTATTTTCCATCATAAGGGATACATATTTCAATGTAAAATCTGTAAGGGATCTGTTTAGTAATGTTAATTATCATTTTATTATCCAATTTTTCAAAGAAATAGAACTGATAGATGAATTTTGATTCATATCTTTTGTAGAAAAATGCATTTTTAGCATTGGTGATTTAAATTAGAAACTGAATTTGTGAGTGGCTGTACCTTCGAAGGGGGTCGACGTAGCGTAAAAATATTGTCTTCCTGTGAGGGTACGTAAGTCTCAAAACATTTCAAGTAAATTTAAGTCTACCAGGTTTTTAATCGGAGTTTTTTTTGTCATTTTGATGTATGGCTAAATCTCAGCATAAACGCCAATGGCTGAAGGGATGGTGTAAATCCAGCTAGGGTCCATGCAGGTAGCAAAACCAATGTCCCCATGGCCCCTAGTATGGTGATCTACGTTCAGTTGTTGGCTATCGATAGCTCATTTTTACAATGTATTGTCCAAAATAGTTGTCTACATTTAAAGATATATGCTAGCTAGTTTTAACCCATTTTGTGATAATCTAGTCAATTTACTGTCCTTCGTTGACAGGGTGTTATTAATTATGTTTATTGATCATGAATTTAGAATTTGTTTTAGTAACGATATGGCTGAAAAATTGTCGAAGTGACTTTAAATCTTAACTCAGTCACTATGAGAACATAAACATCAGACAGCATCACACTGATTAGTCAAGTTCGATTAACTGAGTGAATGAGTAAGTATGGTGTTAGGCCGTTTTTAGCAATATTCCAGCAATATCACGAAGGGAGATACCAAAAATGGGCTTCACACATAGTATTGATATGGGGGAATGGAACCCGGGACTTCGGAGTGACGAGCAAACACTTTAACACTAGGCTACCGAACCGCCCCTCCAAATATATGAATAAGAGGTGCAAACAATTCAAAGAGACACATTTAGATGGAGCTTAGCCTCCGGACGTAGGAAGGCGTTTCCTATTCTCCCGGTACTTACGGATATCGGCTGAAAAAATAACACAAACAATTCTTATCGTATGAATGCTTGTTGTTTTTAAATGAAGGGTCTTCTCTTCTATCATCTACATCTATCAGCTGCTAGATCCATCAGGTGAATTACCACTCGTGAGCCCGGTGATAAACAATGCCATCCGCCATTGACGAAACGAGACTTCTCCCATTCTCGCGGTTTTACCAGGAATTAACGTTATTGGGTGTATGTAAGAAAAATCCTGCCGGAAAGGGTGGGAAAAAGTAATGATATGTCCAAGTTGGTATAATCTCCCCAATATTAGTGACACTGCAAGATTTTGATCACTCACAGACTTGGTCCACTTCCTAGTTACCAGTCGGTGATGTAAACAACCGGAAAGTGTCGCGCATCGGCGATTTAGGCAGAAAACATGATTACCGCGAGAATTTTATATCTTATATTGAGTGAAGTGCACCATATTACCAAGGAGGAATAATTGAACAATATTCATGCAGTCTTATGAGGCGTTTAGAAGCTGGTTGAGTGACTGAGTATGGTTTTATCGCTTTTAGAAATATACCAGCAATATAGGGGACACCAGAAATGGGCTTCACACATTGTGCCGATGTCGGGAATCAAACCCGGCTCCTCGGCGTGACGATCGAAGGCTTTAACCACTAGACTACCCCGTCGCCCCCAGAACTGGTTGAGGAACATGAATCGATTGTATATAAGTAACAACCAGTTGATTGTTTCACCAAAAACTACTAACTTGTTCAAGGATAAACAGGGGTGGTAGGGTAGCCTAATGGTTAAAGCGTCCGCTCATCACGTGGAAGGCCCGGGTTCGATTCCCCACATGGGTGCAATGAAAGAAGCCCATTTCTGGTGTCCCCCAGCGTGATATTGCTGGAATATTGCTAAAAGCGGCGCAAAACCAAACTCACTCACTCACTCAAGGATAAACAATGGTGGTGATAAATCAAACCTTCATTTCAGGTTCACGGTTTTCAGCTAACATCAACCAACGCTTCCCAACGGACGTTTCATCAGCTGCGGCTATGCCTCAGTGTGCAAATGATTGCACCCAAAATAACACCTGTATCGGATTCAACTACAAGTCGGCAACAAGCACATGCGAACTTGTTTCCCCATCACCCGCATCTTCCCAAAATGCTACAGGATGGAAACACTTTGAAAGAAATTTCTGTTGAAGTTTTTTCCTCCCTCCTAAACATCCTGCAGGTCGACCCGTGAAGATCCGGGTTAGAATTAGCCTGCAGCAAACACATGCTTGTCGTAAGAGGCGACTTACAGGATTGGGTGGTCAGGCTCGCTGACTTGGTTGACACATGTCATCGTATCCCAATTGCGTAGATCGATGTTCATGCTGTTGTTCACTGGATTGTCTGGTCCACATTCGATTATTTACAGACCGCTGCCATATAGCTGGAATATTGCTGAGTGCGGTGTAAAACTAAACTCACTTACTTCAGTATGTTATCCATATGTTATCATGCAAACAGTGTAAACTAATTGGTTGACAATACGTTCAGCAATATTCATGAAATATCAGTACAAGACTCTCAGAAATAGCTTTCACACTGTACTCATTTGCATTTGTAAAACCTTTTGCTCCGGAGTGAAAGAACTTAAACTGCAAGCATCAGATATCACGACTGACCTGTCCTTTCTTTCCGATATGAAATGTATATGAAAAAACATCTTTAGGTTAAGCCATCAGTATTCGGATTTATTCACTTATTTACATCAGATAATACTGGTTGACAAATAGCTCTAGTCAAGTATGTAACAACTATTTAGGTAAATATTTATGGTTTAACCTCGACTTCTGAACAGTATTTTGTACAAATAATTATGCATCGTAATTATAATTATGTTCATTACGCCAAACAAAATATGTATCTTGTGTTCACGGCCACAGGCCAAGTATGGCTTGAGTCGAAATAGGTTTGAGTTTGATTTTCAGTTGGTCAATACTACTGCTATATCTAAAATGCTAAGCTAATAAGGACACAGTACAGCCATTGTTTTTCAAAGTGTTAAAATTGGTCAAATGTGTTGATGATATTGGTGCTCGATGCATGTATTTGTTCGCAATATTGTAAAGGTTTACCTGAAACAGGCTTTGCACTTAGACTATGCCCCAATGGTAGACCTCTCTCACAAATTCATTTCTAATGTAGACCGCCTCCGTGGTGTAGTGGTTAGAGCGTCCGCCCGGAGAGCGGAAGGTCGCGGGTTCAATCCCCGAACGCGTCATACCAAAAGACGTTAAAACATGGTTATTGTTGGTCCCTGTCTGGCGCTCGGCATTAATGGGTACAACAAGGACTGGTCGGCTCGGAGTCAGTATAATGTGTCTGAGTGGGGTATTCATGCTTCACTGTGGTATGGTATCTCAGTGGGCTAGCACTATAAAACCAGCTTAAGTCTGGGCTAGTACAAGCAGCCACACATACACATACACACGCATGCACGTCGTCATATGAGCGAAATATTCTCAAGCACGACGTAAAACCCAATTTCACCTCACCTCATCTCATTTCCAATGTCTTAAGAGGTCACTGGTAAGTCTCACAACCTTGATCCCACCATTTTGATTTTCAATATGGCCACCACCACAGCAATTAAAAAAAAAAAAATTTCCATGTAACCATATTTTAACCATTTTTCAAATGTAATATCAGACAGACAGACAGATTTTATTCAGTAATATTGGCCAACTGGCCCATTTTATAATTGTTGTTACAACATTTTTTCTGTCACGTGGTAAGAAAATAGAAAAGAAATATTCAATGGAGAATATACATTTCATAAATTTGGCTATTGCTTTAACGGTACATCTATATTGCGAATTGAACAAATTTATCGTTTGGGATTTACATACATATTTGCCATCGAGAAATATTAATTTTTTTATTTTCAAATCAGTATATTCTGGACATTGTAGTAAAATATGAAATTCATCCTGAACTTGTCCGTTGTAACAATGGTTACATAAAGTGTGATGTCTTTCAGCATCCTTGTTTGCATAAAGGACTCAAACGATATGTTAGTTGTCATTGACTTGCTCTTACATTCTCTGACAAAAAACATCCTCGTATTGTAAACATCTCTGAAATTTTCTATTTGAGAAAGCTGAAGTAAAATATTTCTTGTTTTGATGGCATGCTATTCCGTGCAAATATCGATAATTGAGTGAGTGTAAGCTGCTAAATGTCAAGTGTACACAATATACATTTATTTTTACTGAACACCAGTCAGATAGCCATAAAACTGACGTTCTGAGCACATTTTAGTGGACTCCTTTATACGTAACCGTTGTGTCTAATAAACCATTCAGCTCACTTGCAAAGTCTTCATTGTGTGAGGTTCAGGCATCACAGGTCAGTAGAGAGCACAGATAAGTCTTGGTACTTAGCTGATTAATAATGTTCCTTTGCTGTTCCTTCTGTCGTGTGTTTATTAGCAACCGTTGCCAAAGCCACAACTTCGTATTGTCAGCTGAACTCCAAGCCTACCACCTGTTCCATTAAAACAATAATGAGACTGAAAGTACCACGCCGCCTATAAAGTTTCTCTCTATGACGGTTAATTCAGTGAGCTAACACAAAGCGAAAGTTCATTTTATTCTTAACTGGATGTGGAGAATCATTCGTCCCAAAAGGGATACATTATGAAATTCTCTTTTTTGGGGGCTGATTGGGCACGATTCCTTTGCAGTCTCTCTGCAGTGTGAAAGCAACCGTTGTCATTGGTCTAACTTGATATTGTTATATCTATAATTGTATACTTTAAAGACCGTTGTGTCAGTTTTGTATTCAGCATATGTATAACGATGCTATGGATGTAAAAGCATAACGTCACTTTAACAATCTAAACCCAACGCAACTATTGACGGATAGTGTATTAGCAACCGTTATCATAGGTCTAACTTGACATTGATATATCAAACACTGTATATGTCTGTTCCTAGAAGATCTTTGTCTCAGTTTTGCTTTCAGCATATGTATTAAGATTCCACAGATGTAAAACCTTAACGACAATTTAACAATCTAAACCCAACGCAACTTGACAGGTAGTGTTTTTAGCAACTGTTGTCATAGGTCTAACTTGACATTGTTACATCAAAAACAATATATATGTCTGTTTTTAGATGACCGTTGTTTCAGTTTTGCATTCAGCATATGTATTACAATGCCACGGATGTACAAACATAACGACACTTGATAGGTCACATGCAACGTAAAACACAACTTTGCAGATTCTGATACGTTTCGGTATGGACTTACCGAAACAAATCGTCAAAAATGCAAATTCAACTTATAAAGTTGAAAAATAACGCGATGAAAAAAACTGCGCGAAATCGTAGTACAAACGATTCACCAGCTTTTTCCCCAGCGCTTGGGGGAATTGAAGTGGTTTCAACAGCTGGGCTGCGCTCATAGCACATGCGCAGTGAAATAGGTTCGCGGAGCTTGGAAGCGGGTTGTCCTATTTCACAGGCGCGAGCTTTTTATGTTATTACAGTAGATTACCGATTTAACTGTTTATATAATTTCATTTGTCTATTTCACCACACGTTCTTGTTACCGAGTCACTTTCTCAGTTCGATACTTAAAAGCTATGTCATTATTTAGTGTCGACAGAATTTCTAACTGTGATATAGATATGTCGTTGTCACAGACAAAACTCAATGTCTGTTTTATTGACACCTATGTGTCTGCCTGCCCGTCTGCTAATGACAATTTTCAATACACAATTTCAATCACTGACCACATGCAATTTGAACTTAACACCTATCAAGCTATACACCATAAACAAAACGCATTGATTTATGGCCCGGTCTCTGTAACATTATGAAAATTACACAGACAGGCAGGTGTGATACTTGTACACATGACATGTTATGATGTCTGTGAGGGCATCTGCAAATGAACCAGCCGTTACACTTGAGTGCACACCCACCAGCTCTGACTGGGTTCGGTATCCCGGCTGCTTCGTTTCTTGGGAAGTAAACCCAAGTACAAAATATTGCACTTTTGATTTGCGATTGTACGCTTATAATTTTGTTTGTATGTTTTTCCATAACCAGCAATGTATATTATATGTCATGAATAAGTGATAATTGTGTTTTAATTATGTTTGATTGTTTGGTTGCATGTCGACCTTTAACAATCTAAACCCAACGCAACTTGACGGGATGCGAATGGTTAAGATGTTTTTGTTCTGAACACGACTTGCATGGAAATGCACAACTCCCCAACTGTCCAAGACCCCATGACAATGAGTGTATTTGTCGTTTTAAGGGAAATAATGTTGAAACAAGGATAGAGGATGTTAAAGCTTGCCAACGTTGGCCAAAACTGCCTGGAATTTACGATTTGTGTTCACGTTCACATACACGTGACATGCAGCGATATGTATCATTAGTGTGTGATTATTTATGATTAAAAGCTACTTTGGCACTACATATCCTAGGGAGGATTATAAAGGGAAAATCGTGCAGGCAAACGTGGTTTTTTAAAAAAATACCATTGGCTAGACCTAAAATGCTTTCTCCTCTATGCATGGTTATTTACCTGTGTTTATTGACAAGCATACTAACTTGTAGATTATTTACGATAATGTATGTGCATATCAGCATTTGGTGTATTATTTTGTTTCAGTTTCATATTCTCTTACCACGGTAAGCTGACCGTATTTCGCAGGATGAATAAATCGTCATGAATTCTTGTGTCGCCATTTACCCACTTTTAAAAAGATTCGCTAGGTAATGGAAAGTGTACAATAATTTTATGATATATGAAGTTTCCTTATAGCAGTTAAATATTGAAATAGAGAGTAACTTACATGTTATCAAATGCTGAAATGAAAACTATTTAAAATAGTTCATTTCCATGACGTTAGAAGATAGTTGTGTGCACGTGTTATTGTTGTGATTGCGCGAAGTGTTGATGCTTGCTGTACATACTTGCTAGTTTCTGGTTATGCAGCAATACAGCTTTTCCACTGTACAAATGTTATCATTTTGGCATAAACTTACTTACCCCTGTATCGAAAACTTAAAACTGTCACAAATCGTGTATAACTGTATTTTGACCAATCATCAACAGTGTCTAAATGGTTATCCCTGGATACGCTTTATTCAAATTATGCTAACAGTATCGGACTAAGTGAAATATTTGTCGGTCCCTCGCTTTGTTCTACTCCCTGGCTAGTCTCGAGAGCGGGGAAATTCTGTCAGATCAGTTCTGCCAAAAGTGGAGAGAAAACATTGAATCT